TATTGTCATTCTTGACTTCCTCATAAAGAGGAGTCAATCGTTTAGTGTTTTCCTTCTTGACTTTCTCATAAAGATGAGTCAACCTTTTAGTGATGTTATTATTGACTTTCTCGCAAAGAGGAGCCGATCTTCTAGTGTTGTCATTCTTACTTTCTCTCAAAGATTAGTCAACCTTTTAGTGATGTGATTTTTGAGTTTCTTGTGAAATGGAGTTAACCTTTTAGTGATGTCATTCTTGACTTTCTCACGAAGAGGATTCAACCTTTTAGTGATGTCATTCTTGACTTTCTCGCAAAGAGGAGTCAATCTTTTAGTGATTTCATTCTTAACTTGACTTTCTCGAGGATATGAGTCAACTTTTCAATATTATCCTTCTTCAACTTAACTTTTTCATGTAGAGAAGTCAGTTATTCACCAAAAAGTGGCTAGATCTCTTCAATGTAGATGAGCAATGTCGTCTTTAGCACCAAATTATCTCTAGATTGACCTGACTTCCTCGTAAAGAAAGAACAGTGTCATCTTCAACAAACAATTTACCTAAAAGTGGGCAGATCTCTTCAAAGTGGATGAGCAGTGTAGTTTCTAACATCAAATTCCCAATAAAAAAATAATACAACTGAACAAAAATTGTTACCTTGTTATCTTTTTCCTATTCGTATCTTTACACCAATGGTTCATGCATTTTACATGCATCTGGGCATCATTCATCATTTCATCAAAGCAAGAAGAGTTTCTCTTCTCATGGCGATGTCTTTAAAATCTATTTTGAGAAATCATTTTGTCTTTCTAAAAATTGTTTCCCTATAAACTTCAACCTGACTTTCTCATGTAGAGGTTAATCTTTCAGTAATGTTATCTTCAATTGTGACCTTTTTAGGACTTGTATCCCAGAAAACTCAATTTAGTCTTTCTTAAGATTGTTTCCCTAGAATCCTGATCGTGGTCTTTCATAAGATTGTTTCTCTAGATACCAACTTTGTATATTTTGTTCGTTTCTTTGAAATTTCTAATTTTGTCTTTCTTAAAGACCTTTTCACATGCTCAAATGAGTAAAGATAAATTAATTGCATCACTGCATTCATGAGAGCATTATTCAGATAGCAAATACATTTCACTTTCAAGATGAATATTTTATAGGTTTTTATAGAAAACTAAAGATTTATGACAAGCAGAACTCATTAACCAGTTCAAAACCTTTAAGATGAAGAATGGGAAAAATCACGAGATTCAAGGCTAAGCTTAATGTTTGTTGAATTGGAGATAAACTCTCATACGAGAAATTGATTATCGAAGATATCTTGAATATTGACCTTCGGGTATGATATTTTCAAATTCTTGAATATTTCACTAAAAAGTTGTAATTTTGATCTACATACTTGATTTTCCCTGAAGAACAGCAAAAGAGATCATTTTCCTCCATATTTGATCTTCCCTGAAGAGCAGTGGAACAAATCTTCCTCAATTCAATCTTCCTTGAAAAGTAGTAAAGTGAATCAAACTTTCCAGATTTGATCTACCCTAGAACGCAGCAGAGATGATCCCTTTTTAGATTTGATCTTCCCTGAATAACAGTGGAGCAAATCTTCACCGATTCAATCTTACCTAAAGAATAGTAAATTGAATCAACATTTCCAGATCTGATCTACCCTGAAGAGCAGCAGAGCAATTCCTTTTCCTAAGATTTGATCTTCAAAAATATCTATTCTGAAGATGCTCATTTTCAGTTTCACTTGAGACAACATCAAATGTCAAAGTATAGATTTGACCAGACAAAAAATGTCTCTTCGTCTTTGTCCATTAGTTTTTTTCTGATCAAAATTGTTTTATTATTATTATTATTATTATTTAACTATTTTTATTTTTATTTTATTTTTTATTTTCGCAAGCCCAATGTTACTATTATACAACCCAATTAGCCCAATATATCACAAGGCCCCAACAATACAACCCAAACTGGGCCCAACTGACCCAAATTTCAAACCTAAAATAAGGCCTAAAAACCCTACGCCAAAACCTAATCATAACACTAAGTGGTGACCCTCTTGACCATCCGTTGTTGCCACTGTCGGAGAGCCACTCCAATCGCGTCGTCGCTTATCACAGTCAACTTCTTTCACTATTCAAATCTAAACCAATTCAACAAAAATCTTGAAAAATCAGTATAAAAAATCAAATAAAAATGAATCCCGAATAATATGGAATCCCCACCAACTGAGCCTAATCCCTCTGCCTTAAGCTTCATCAAACACGACGAACCCGAAAGGAGGGAAGATGCATGGAAGATAAAAGGAAGAGTTCAAACCAAGGGGCATTCGGTGAAGGAAAAAAGGAGATTGAAATTTTTTGAACACGGGGTTTTCGAAAAAATAAAGGAAAAAAAGATGGGAACAGAGTTCGACCAAAAAAACAGAGAGAAACAAAGGAACCCGAAGAGGAAGAACATAAAAACGAAGAAAAAAAAAGAAAACCATATCCTAAAAAGAGGGAGGGATAAAAAAAGAGTTGTGGAAATCAAAAAATGAGGAGAGCTTACCTTCATTATTGGTCATCGAGAAGTTCGAGGGTTGTCGAAAATCACAAGGTCGGGGCTATTTTTGTTGATCCACGATATTTGAAGCACTTTTAGGCCATTCGGACCCTAGATCCGTGTTCAGGGCATTGAGAAGAAGTAGCTCGTGCAACTTGGGCTCGAAAAGTCATTGGAGAATTGCGGCGCACAGTGGCCGGAAATGGGCATCAATGCAGCCAGTGAGAGCCCTCGTCGGATTCTATAGAGAGAAGAAATAATAGGGAGAGAGATAAAAAGAAAAAAGGAAATGAGAAAAAATGAGGAAGAAAGGCTAAAAAGGGGATTATATAGCTCATCCAAAATAACGTAGTTTTAAGGGTTAGGTTTTCTAAATTCGTGCATGAGTTAATCATAGAGAAAGTGCCTCTACTTTTGTAAGCTTTCCATTTCAGTCACTAATTGAAAGTTTGTTTTCTTTTAATTTGGCCTTTAAATTGTACACGTGTTGCATTTTGGTCATGACTTTAATTGTTATGGATTATTTACATGTTTAACCCCTATTACTTTAGTTTTCTTAGATTTAGTCCTTGTGTGAGGATGTATATATATAGTGGTATATATAAATATATGTTCCATATAATACGATGCTTACTTTTAATAATAAACCCTTTAATTTAGCTATTATTCATATACTAATTACTTTAGTTTAGATCCCTTAATTTTAGTTTTTCCTTCGATATATATATATGTGTGTGTTAATTGTTTTTATCCTTTATATGTTTATATTAAGTTACGTATGTATACTACATATACGTGTATATTTGTGTATAACTTTCATGTACCTTTTGATGTTATAAATATTATTTGTATATAATATTATATGTCGTATTTCATGTTTTATATTTATATAAGTATGATTTGCTTGATATTATGAATTAATTGTATACATTATAGGACATATTTTTTAAAACAAAATTTGTACTTATTAAATATTATTATATATATTTTATGTAAATGTTTTATTCTACGTAGAAGGTTTTTATGTTATGTTTCAATGTGTTTTATGGTTTCTTGACATCATTTCGTTAGTTAAGCATGATCCTCACAAGCATTACTCAACTCGATCAAAGTAATTTGACGAAGGGAATATCCGTTTATTTTGAGATTGAGGGAAGTGATTGTCTTGAGGAATAAGAGGTCGCTTTCAATAGTCTTAAAATAAAAAGGTATCCTGTCAATGGAAATAATAAAAATTGATTTCACTTAAAACTTGAGATTCAGAAAAAAAATGTTCTTTTAATTAAATTCACCGAGAAAAGACTTTTAGAATGGATCTAAGGTATAGTCTCGATGTCTTTAAATAATTGAATATACTTATTCTCATTAAAGGTTGATAAATAATTAATTAATCATATTCATTTGATATATGTATTTAATTTTCTTCTTATTTTGTATGTGTTTAAATGTGATCTCAAAATAAATTATATTCGAACGTATAAATATATTGTAAGGACAAATAATTAATTAATTTGGTACTGATTTAGGGCGCTGTAGGGGTGCTAATCATTCCCCACGCATAACTGACTCCCGAACTTAAATCTTTGCTAACGCATACTGTAAATTTGTTGTTTTAATTAAAATTCATATTTTTATTAAAATGATAAATATTTTTTTGTGCCCAATCACACCCTAATCGAATATTGTGGCAACTCTATGAACCAATTTTATTATTTTTATACTCGAATCTCAAATTATTCGAGGCAAAATGTTTTTACAAAATCCCGATTTTTTAATCGACAAACCCCGATTTTAAAAAGAACGTCTCGACAACATATGTTCTAAATATTCTCAACTATTTGACAATGAAAACTCAAATACATTTATAATTTCCAGTGCTCGAACCTTGAACTTTTAGTAATAACAATCATCCTTTTAACCACTGAGATAATTTGATTCTTGTAATTTACAGTCCTAATTAAAATTAACTACTATGTCATAATTTATATTAAACTAAATTATGTGGACTACATTTCAGATTTTATTATAGTAGAGGTATAAAATTAAATTTGACACAGGAAAGAAGTACGATTAATGTGAGCACAGGACACACTGAACCAACCAAAATCTATCCCAACTTTATTTTTTTCCTCTTTCTCATATATGGGGTCTCACCTTACCCACTCAATTTGAACTTCATTCAAAAAAGTAGCTCAAAAGTTCAAAGTCAACATTGCACATTGATGTCTCAATCTCTGATTGAAAGTTACTGATTATGAATAAATGATACTCAACTAATGGAGTTTGAAAGAGAAACTGTACTCAAAAGCCTGTATTTGTCAAAAAAGTAAGGAAGGAGAGAATGTTGAAAATCATGCTTTCCTTCTGGTAGGGTAGTTAAAAAGTAAAAGAAAACAAATGGGGTTTTACAATTGATGCAGAATCAATGGTTAAAAGGGTATTTGAAACAAGATTTCTTTCTCAAAACTGAGTTCAAAACCTTTGAAATTGAAACCATTTACTGTAATGGGAGGTGTTTTTGCAATAATCTTTATGTTCTGCAACTTGCTTTTTCTTCCTTATCCCTCCTCTTCTCTTCCTTTATGCACAGATTCCAGTAAGTTGTGCAGTTCATTAACCATTTTGATTTATGTTCATTGTTTCCAAATATCTGCCTGAAAAAACAAAATCCCTTTTTATTTTTTGTGGTATAGGGGCACCTCTTACCTTGAAGACTGCATTGAAATTTTGCTCCTACAACAGAAGTAGCTGCTGCAACTCCACTGAAGATTCCAAATTGCAGAAGCAATTTCAAGCTATGAATATCTCTGGCACAAGCTGTGCTTCACTTGTGCAATCAGTTCTCTGTGCAGTAAGACTTCATTTTTCTTCCATTGATCACTGGTTTAAGGCTTCATTAGTTAGATTTTTGTTGTACTCATCTAATATAAAGCAATTATTCTTGTGGGAAATCTCATTTCCAATGATGTTTTTGATCCTTCATGCTCAACTGAAATGAAATGTCTCGTGTTGATGTTTGCTTTTCGAGTTGTTGATCGACTGCATGTATCCACAACTCATAGGTCATAGGTGTTCATAACTTCATAGAGGGATTCAATTGCCCCAGTTGGTTATGATTTTACTGAGTTTACACATGTTTACTTGATTTTCAGGTGTGTGATCCGTTTTCTGAAAAGTTATTCACTATTGATTCGGTTCCCCGACCGGTGCCTCTCCTCTGCAACTCTACTGTTCCAACGAGCTCAACTCAGTCTAACCAAGCAACAAATGATTTCTGCTCTGAAGTATGGGATGCATGTCTAAATGTATCTATATTCAATTCACCCTTTGCACCTTCATTACAGGGACATGGTGGAGCACCAGTGAATTCGAAGTTCACCACCTTGTCCGAACTATGGCAGTCGAAAAACGATTTCTGCAATGCCTTCGGTGGAGCATCTACTTCTGGGTCACTTTGCTATGACGGTAAGCCTGTTACACTAAACAAGACTAGAAATCCTAGTGCTCCACATGGCTTATGCCTCGAGAAAATTGGGGATGGAAATTACTTGGATATGGTTGCTCACCCTGATGGATCGAGCCGTGCATTTTTCGCCAATCAACGAGGAAAGATTTGGTTGGCAACCATTCCCAAACCGGGAGGAACATTGCAGCTTGATGAATCCAGTCCCTTCATAGACCTTACTGATCAAGTTCATTTCGATACTACATTCGGGCTGATGGGGATTGCATTTCACCCGAACTTTGCACGAAACGGCCGATTCTTTGCTTCATTCAGTTGTGACAAGCGTAAATCACCGGGATGTACAGGAAGATGTTCATGTAATTCGGATGTGAACTGTGATCCCTCAAAACTTGGTACAGACAATGGTGCTCAGCCGTGTCAATATCAAAGTGTTATTGCAGAATATACTGCCAACGGTACCGCATCGCAGCCTTCCTCGGTACATATTTTTACACACTTAAAACTTCTTTTCTTCAGTTTTTTCGCATCCGAAACGCTAATTAAATTGTTCCATTACACAGGCAGAAGATGCAAAACCATCTGAAGTAAGAAGGATATTCACTATGGGCCTTCCCTTTGCTTCTCAACATGGTGGACAGATACTTTTCGGACCTAAAGATGGTTATCTATACTTTATGATGGGCGATGGTGGTGGTGGCGGTGATCCATACAATTTTTCTCAAAACAAAAAGTCTGTGCTCGGAAAAATCATGAGGCTTGATGTAGATAATATACCTAGTGAGTACCTGCTTCTCAGGGGTTTATCCCCACAACTACTTACCTATGTTCAATGTCATTCATTTCAACCAACTCTCGAAATACGGTTCCAGGTGCGGCGGAGATTAACAGACTCGGTCTATGGGGGAACTATTCTATCCCTGCAGATAATCCATATAGCCAAGATGAAGATTTGCTGCCTGAAATATGGGCTTACGGATTAAGAACTCCTTGGCGCTGCAGTTTCGATTCCGAGAGGCCTTCCTATTTCATGTGTGGGGATATCGGCGAGGTTTGGCTTTTTCTCTTCTAAAAACCATAGACAGGCAACTATATATTATCATCTCTGAAACAGAATTGTGCATTTGGCTTAATAAGTGTGTTATTGGATGTTAATATGATTCTACAGAACTTGTACGAAGAGGTTGACATGATCAGCAAGGGCGGAAATTACGGTTGGCGTGTTTACGAGGGACCGTATCCCTTCGAACCTACATCATCACCTGGAGGGAGTACAACTTTAAATTCCCTAAGCCCCATTCTCCCTGTTATGGGATACAATCACTCTGAAGTAAGCAAGAAATTAGGGTCAGCCTCGATCATAGGTGGCCATTTTTACCGGTCCGATACCGATCCGTGTATGTACGGAAGGTAAGTAACCTTCATTCTATTTGCTTGCTTTCTAAGGCAGCTGAGCCGGACCAACTCTTCATTTTCACTGCCTAGTGCTGTGTTTTTCAGGTACTTGTATGCAGATTTGTATGCAAGTAAAATATGGGCAGCAACCGAAGACCCAGATAACAGCGGCGATTTCTCAACTAGTAGTGTTCCTTTCGGTTGTGCAAGAGACTCGCCTCTACAATGCAGCAGCGTGCCAAATAGCGCTGTTGCAGCATTGGGTTACATTTACTCGTTCGGTCAGGACAATAGCAAAGATGTCCACTTGCTAACCAGCAGTGGGGTTTATAGAGTTGCGGCTCCGAGTCGATGCAATTACAGTTGCTCGACGGAAAAGGTTACTGCAGTTGCGAGTCCGAGTCCTACTACTTCGCCGCCATCTCATGCAAACCAGTTGAGTCCGGTAATCCTATTATCTGCCTCGCTGCTGCTTATGGCTGGTCTTGCCTAAGATTTCTGACGGTTATGTGCGCTTGTGCCATGTAGAGACAAATAGTTTTCGCAATAACCATATTTTTCAACTTTAATCAGTTTCGACTAGATTCGAAATATGGATTTAAACATCTGCAGCAACTGTTAACATAGAATCATGGATTTAAATAACGCCGGTGATATAGCAGTAGTGTGCCGTCCTATATCACTATTGTATGATCGTGATATCTACAATCACCGCAATAATATATGTTATATCCGTAATCTCGATAAACATAACACAACTGAAATCACGACTACAACTGCGACTGCTATTTAAATCCCTGCTTAGAAATCTCAGGAAGTTTAGTTTAATGTTAATATGGCAAAAGTGGTGTGCATAAATGGTCAAATCTCAGCAAGTTTGGTTTACATTATTGTTATACCGTTGGAGATCACTTTCAAAAATAGTCAAATCTTCATTAGTTAAGACTTAAGATCTCCAGATAGATTCTTACATCTATCGAAATTTTCAAAAGATTCATATCTTCTGAAATAAGGAGTATTATATCTTCGAGTCAGTTATAATATAATGATAAAAGTTTTGACATAACCTATTAGAGAAAAATCAAATCTAAGATATGATAATAAAATCAATTTAACTCGTTAACTAATAATTACTCTATACGTGACATCACTATTAATTTACTGTAAATCAATAGCGGATCTAAAAAACTAAAGAATAGGATCTTTTTGGGTAAGCAAATTTCTTTAATTTTTCATTCTCGTTAATAAATTAAACTAAATTTAAATTTTTTTCAAACTAATGGGTGTTCAATTGCTCCTCTAAGGAGCCACATACATTCGTGCTATAAATAATTGGATAAACTACATTATATACCATCGAACTTTAGGCGTTACATTGTTTATACACTGAATTTTCAGTTTTGCCAATAATAGCACTGAACATTGATTTTTATTTTAGTTATACCACAGAACCATTAATTTGTTAACGGAACGATGAAGTGGCTGACGGCTACCGACATAGATACCTCACCAAAATGATGTCGACTTGATCCGGTTGTTAACGATTTAATGGACCAGTGGTATAAATTAAACGAAAATCAAAGTTAAGTGCTATAGTTGACAAATTAAAATTTAGTACTAAACGATACAATGCCTAAAATTTGGTGGTATGTGATGTAGTTTACCCTAAATAATTTTTAACCTAAACAAAAAATGTAAGTGATCGACACAACCTACTTGTTTTAATTAATAATTATCTTTCAAGATAAGGTTATACTATACGACACCAACCAAGTAACTTTTATCATTTTAAAAATAGTTTAATGTAAAAATAGGTGGCCAAATTATACTCTAAATTAATTTTAAGTGTCTAAATTTTTTTTACTCAAAGTATGTGTCTAAGGTTTTTAGTAGACATCGGGGATGGAAGTAGAGATTCATTGAAACAAGATCAGAATCGTTACCTTTTGTAGCACAAAACTTAGATGAAACTATCACTAATATTACACAATTTCAATGGGTTCGGGAGGACGTGGATGAAGATATTTATGAGAATTGATAACATAAGAGTGTAGTAAGATTTTATATCTTAATTTATTAATTTATAATATTATAACTCATTACATGTTGTCCTTCATTATATTCATTAATAGTAATATTTTTACAAAAATTGTTGTTTGTTTATTACAGATATCATGCACAGGAGAAAATTAAGTGATTCGCGGATTGTTTGAGCTTCTCAAGAGGAGGAAGAAACAAATAATGAGGAATCGACTGCTGTTGACTCTTCGGAAGTTTCGATTACTGTTGAAGAAGCTGTAGAAATTGAAGGTAATGTTCAATACTTTCTTTAATTGATGGTTTCATTTTGAAAACTTACATTTAATTATTTCTTATATAGTTGAAAATAGTCAAACACGCAATACTAGAGGACGTACAACGTTGAAGGAATTATGTCAACTTCCTCATGAGCACCGTGTGAAAGTTCAAGAAATGATGTCGGTCAACCTATTGGCCCAAAAACACATCTTTTATCCAGTTACTTAGGCATGGTTGCACGTAATGCTAATCTTTTACCGATCAATTATGAGTCATAGCGTGAAATGCCAAATAGTAACAAAAATCAGGATTTGGATTTTGTTAAGGTAATAATGTGATTATAATAGATATTCCATAACAGTTTAATAGTATTTTATACTTACTTTGAACACTTATGTTATTTGTAGGAGAAATTTTCTTTAGAGGTCTCAGACGATTATATGAAGCAAGCATTAGGGAAAATATGGAGAGACCACAAGAGTTCATTAAAAAAGACATACTTCAAGAATTATCTCAGCCTTGAAGAAAAGCTGCAAACTATCCCACCTGGAATGCTCAGGTATCAATGGGAATATGCAGTCAGGTTTTGGAGTTCAAAGAAAGGACATGTATGATGTATTGTTCAAAAAAAAAATATGTCATTATAATATTGACTTTATAAGTAAATATTTCAAATTGTAGGACCAAGAGCATGTTGTTGTTGCTAGCAGACAACAACAAAAGTTTACTCACATAGTTGGATCGAAGAGCTTTTCTTGTATAGCTAATGATGAAGTATTATTGATTATTCACATAGTGATTTACAGTTGGTAGCACATACTAACGAAAATTAGTTATATTATTAATTAATTTTTTGCAAGACTTAATTTTTATTCTACATTGTAGGAAAATATGTCTGGTTGTAAAGTTGGATGAATAAAGCTCTTTGACATTACACATACAAAAAAGGATGGCTCTCCTATGACTGATGAAGCTACAGAAATTATGGTACATTTATTGGACACAAGATTTGAATTATGTTATATTTATACCTATAATATGACATTCTTATTGAAAATAATTATTTAATTGATTATTAAGAAAAATTGAGGGATAAAAGGGAGAAGTATGAAGCTACGGCTTCAAATCATGGTATTGTTAATGCTGATGACATCAAAAATCAAGTTTTTAATGAAGTTTTTGGGTCCTGAAGATATGGTCGGGTTCGATGTTAAGGATCATTCGTTACTCCCACCAAATATTTTGGATCCAGTTCATCTCAGTACATGTCATCACAGAGTCAGTCTTCCCAATTAGAAGTTAGTCGTTTAAAACAACAGTTGGCTGAAATGGATAAAATATGTCTCAAATGAAAGCGGAAACTTAAGCGAGGGAAGTAGAGAGAGAAGCAACATATCAGCAAAAATGTCAAGACTGTGAAAATCAACTTAAGCTATGATGCATATGATACGACAAAATCAACCTCAGAGCCCACCATCTTAGGTGTTATTTTAGATATATGCTTTGTTCATTCTAGTTAACAATGTTGAACTGTATTATATTTTACTTTAATGTAAAGTTTGATTTATTATTATAGATTTCAAATTGGTTGTTATGGATTTCAAGTTTGTTGTTATGGATGTCATGTTTATTGGATAATGCTACAGGTTAAAAATTTAAATTTGGGTAACAAAAGAGCAGAAAACACCATCGGCATAATTTGTGTTAATTAGCGTCGTTTGTATAACAAACGCCACTAAATACATACTCAATACCGACATTTATACAAAAAACGCCACTATAGACAGTCAATAGCAGCTTTTTAAATTTACAAATGCCGCTATATGTCATGACCTTTATCAACATTTTTTGGGAACAAATGCCACTATATGTCAGAACATTTAGCGGCGTTTTTTTATAAACGCCACAAAAGAAAAGATATATAGCGGCGTTTTTCAACAACGCCGCTAAAAATCATAACCCTTAGTTGCATTTGTAGACGAAAAACGCGACTACCTTTTGCGGCGTTGATTTTTGCGGCATTTTTCACCACAATGATTTTTAACGACGCTTAAAAACGCGGTTATATAACTGAAAAAAGGTCGTTAAAAACATGTTTTGATGTAGTGTCTTTTAAGTGCCTACATTAAAAAACCTGTTAACTGACACATTTTGTGTTTATATTTTATAATTTTTTTTTAAAAATGGCAAAAATAGTATTTTTAATTAAAAAACATTTTTTTAAAGAAAACCCTAATATATATATCCAGCGGCCCCCAACTGTTCATTGATACTGTTAAATTTCCTCTTCACTATCTCCGTCGATGCTCTCCAATGAACAATGATGCCAAAACCCATTCTAAAACTCAAGGCCGCAGCTCCAATTTCTTTACCTCTAAAACCCAGCGCAACAAGGGTGAATCTAACAACACCTTGGTGTGGTGGGATGGGGGAATTTAACTTGTTTGCATTGCATGAAGAGCTTGCGTGCATTCTAAATGGACGAGGGAGGGGGATTTAGCTTGCATGCGATTTCCTGCTCTGTTTGATACGGAGGCCGTTTGGTCGATGACGGCGACAGTAGCTCAAAGGATACAATGGGGACGATGGGGAATTAGGTTTTTTTTGAATATATATATTTTTAATTTTTTTAAAAATAAAAATTTCAAGAAAATATAATGATGATGCATGTCCATTGACGGTTTTTTTAACGGCCATTACGACGTAGGTACTTAAATGAATAATGTTAGAAACTTTAGACACTTATTTTAAACGAAAAATTCTTTAAATACCTAAAATTAACTTAAAGTATAGTGTAGACATTATTTTTACATTAACCCTTTAAAAAGTTACAACTTCAATCATGGTTATAACTCCAATTAATACATTCTATATACATCCACATGTTATCACTCCTACAACATTGGAAATGTTGATATACTACAAAAATAATGTTGCTAGAAAATCATTATAATTACATTAATAAATAAGTTGAGCATATCTCTTTTTCTATGAATACCATTTTTTGCTAAATTTTCTTCTTCAGAATTAATTGTTCTAAGAAAATGTATGATTATACAACTCGGGGGCGGGAAGTCCACATGTGACACATAAGAAGATAGCAAGAGTGGGTTTCTTAACAAACACTTTCATCATTGAAAACAAAAAATAAATTAATAATAAAATTTTCATATTTTAAAATTATAATTATTTTATTTATTTCTAATAATTATTTATCGGTATATTAATATGACTGTAATTATAATTGG